GAGAGAGAGAGAGAGAGAGAGAAGAGGTGTTGAGAAGATGTGAGCGCGCGATGCCAACACCCACCGACCAACGCACGGGGAGGCGGCCCTCTTGGCTCTCTCTCCGCTGCCGCTGCTGCTGCTGCTGGTCTGCCACTGCTTGGCTGGCTGGCTGAGACGTGTCAGTGCGTGTCTCTCAGCTTTCTCTCTCTCTCGCCTCGTGCTGGTCTCGCGCCTGTAGCAGTCGACGTGGCTGCGTGGCTGCCATCTGCTCGGGAATGGCCTGTGCTTGGCTCGCTCGCTCTCTCGCTCGCACGCCTGCCCTTCTTCGCGCTGCGATCCAACTTCAGATCACTGATTTTTCGGATCGAAAATCGCTCGAATTGTGAGACGGTTGTGACCTAACTTTGCTTTAAAGACTGCCTTTGGCTCACGTGACGCCCCTTGGCGCGTTCTGAGGTTCAAGCTCCTTGTGGCGGTCGAGGCTGAATGCAACACGGCCGCCTGCAGAGGGTCGAGAGCTCGCTCCACTTTTCGCCCAGCCGCTCTCTCGGCCATCATCTTGCTCGCAGTCGACATTGCGAAACAAGCTCGCCACCATGCCATCGGTGCGCGCCTGAAGTTTTCCGCTATGGCGTCTCATCAATCCGCACCTCAGGACCACTTGCGGCGCCGAGGTCCGCGCACACAAGGAGCGCGTTGCAGCCATTCGTCTCGGCTCGATGTGCCCCTCCTCGACATGGGCTCCACCATGACCGCACAGCTGGCGCACGAACGCAACGGCCTCTTGCTCTCGCATGCCCACTCCTCCGATCATAGCGACCGCTCTCGCATCCTGAGCGCACTGCGTCGTGACAGTGTCGATCTAAACAAGGCGCAATCGCCCGGCCATTGCAACCAGCTCACCGCCAAGCTCGCCGAATGCCTCGTCCACCACGTCCTCTTTGCAAAGGGTCAGCTTCCGGAACCAGTCAGTCTGCTGCGTAAACGACGCCAAATCGATGCTGCCGAGTCTCGACCCTCGACAGGCAAGCGATCGCCCTCCAGCTCCGCCAGGCAACGGAAGGAGTCCAAGCTTCTCGCTAGACTCGACCAGCTTAGGCTTCACCTCGAACAGGCTGCCACGCAGCTCGCCACCTTTGTCGCCACCAACGGCGAGGGACCTTCACGCTATCCTTTTCCTGGCACGCTCGGAGCTGTGTCGCCCAACGACCTGCGGCTGCTCGTCGTCATCGGTGCAAGTGCCGCGATGCCGCGCGAGGTGTTTGTGCTCGACCTCATCCAGGCCATCGGCAGGTGTACCTCTGCCCACGCCGCCGCTCAGCATCTCCTCAGTAGCTGCGACGACCCGGACGACCGAGAGCACGAAAGCAGCACTGGCAACGACGACGGCCATGCTTGCCTCGCCCACCTCGGTTCCGACGCTTCCGAGCAGCAACGCAGCATGGCGAGGGACAAGACGAGCACCAACTGGGAGCGCAAGCTCGTGCGTCTGCTCGTGAGCGACGAGCGTCTGGAAAACTTCATGGCGTCGCCGCTGTCTCCCACGCGCGTCCATCTCTTCCTCAGCGCGCCTGCTTCGTTCCGCTGCGCCGGTTGGTCCGCACGCAACCACCTCGACTTTGATCTGGACGCGCTCTGCGAACCCACGAGCGACTCGGAGACCAGATGGGAAAACTCGGCGTGTGGATCGTCGTCGTCGGTGGCCGACTCGGGGCTGGACGACAGCGCGTCGGAGCACGTGGGCGAATCGAGCATGAGCTCCATCTCGCAAGACAGCAGCCGGCCCCCGTCGGCAGCGGACAAGCCGTTTGGCGTGGGCAGCTCGCCCAACGAATGGCTGCCCACATGCAGCAGTCCACTGGCCGCCACTGGTGACGCTCAGAGTCTCGACGTCAGCCGCACGGGCTCATCGCTCGGATCCTCCACCGTCTACGGCCACGTCGATTCGTCGGTCGAGGCATCTGAGCCGCGACGTCGTTCACGCGAGCCGAAGGCAGGCAGCCTGTTGAGCCGCAACCTCATCCGTGCACGCACGCGGCATGCTTCCCTGGCAGCATCCGACTCGAGCTCTGTGCGTTCGCTGCCCGTGTCGATCAAGCGGGCGCCGCGGTGTGCAGGTGTCCAGGTCGACTTTACCGACCCTGCCGCCAACGCTCCATCTGCACCTGCCCCCAGTCCGGCGGCGTCGACGGTCGAACGTCGGTGCTGGTTCCAGTGCGATGCTGTGCTCGAAGGCTTTCGCTAGATCATTTCTTGTAGCTGTAGTGTTATCTCGCGCTCAAATATCTTTATCGTGTACGTCTATGCGTGATGGTGAGAGGACGTTGCAATGCTCGTTGGCGGGGATGGGAGCAAGCCGACGTCACCAAGCAGCCAATCTCGACGACGGATGCAAAGACGATCTGACATTTCAGCACGTTTTTCCATGGACCCGCGGCCGAGATTGAGCTGAATCGCAGGAAAGAGGAGCGGCGGGACGGCACGAATTCCTGCGGGCCGTGTTTAGCATTTTTGAAGGCGGCTTTTTGACCCTGAAGATCCCGCCCCTGGTTTTGAAATTGCGAGAGCTGTGGAAATTCGAAAAAAGCACGGCAGCGGCGCGAGAGAGGGAGAGAGAGAGAGAGAGAGA